CTGTGTGACGTCATAGAGGTGATGAGCAGGTGAGTCCGGGGTCAGTGACGTGGACTCACCTGTAGGGGGCGGAGACAGACCCGGACCACAGTGGTTCTTAGACCTGGACTGGGGTCAGGGTTCAAATGAAGTTAAAAGGGTCAGAGGTTAAACCGGTCTCAGAGGATGGACCTGAACCTGAATCTGGACCTGGACCAGGACCTGAACCTGAACCTGGTCCTGGACCGGGACCTGAACCTGAACTTTTGTTTTCAGTTTATCTGAATAGTCTGAATTATATCATTAAACACTTTAGAATCCACCTGATGTTGAAGAAAACTCTGATTATTTCTCCTTGTTATGAACTTTGAACCGCGCTCCTGTCAGGGGTTCATTCTACGACACATCACCTGTTGAACACCTGTCGTCAGCCGCTGCTGCTCCGTCTTAGCGCGGCGTTGAAGGTACGTCTGTTAGGGTGACCATACGTCCTCTTTTACCCGGACATGTCCTCTTATGGGGGGCTGTCCGGGGGAGTTTATAAACTCCTTCAAATGTCCTGATCGTGTTTTCATTGATTATAAAACAGAGCAGAGGATCAGTCCTCTCTGCAGCTCCGCCCCTCCGATCACTTCTAAACAAAGTCACTGACGTAGCGCAGCATGTGCTGTCTTTGAGGATTCAGGATAATATGTTTAAGTGAGTTAAAGAGTCACTGACAGTCGGTCGGTTTACATGATTAATACTGACGAGAACCACAAGAGAGCGGACGACCTGAGCATCATGGAGGGGGGGGCTTATCCTGGAGGTGAAGAGGGAGTGTCAGGGGCCTGAGTTCAGTGGGTGGAGTCCTCAGTGGGCGGAGTCTAACCCTCTTCTTCTTCTCTCCGCAGGAGTTCTGACTTGCTGCCTCCAGGCAGCCTGGCTGTTGGACTATGCAGTGTTTGTCCACTGGGTGGCGCCTCCTGAGCCGAGCTCGCCACCTCCCTCCCTGCCCCCCCCACCCCTCTGCTCAGTCTGCCGCCATGTACACCCCCCGCCTCTACAGCACTGCAGGGGGAGGAGGAGGGGGAGGAGGTGGGGTCAAACAGGGGAGAAGAGCTGGACTGGCCGTGCTCGAGGCCCCCCACCCCCCCCACCCCCACCCCCACCCCCACCTCCCCCACCATCCTCACCCGGCCCCCCCTCCCCCTGCGTATCCGTTGTATCAGGGTCGTCCTGACACCCACCGAGGAGCTCATTTCCACCACCACTATCACCCCCACCCTCACCCTCACCCCCACCCTCACCAGCACCCTCAGCCTGCCCACATAGCCCCGCCCCCTCTGCCCCCCCACTACCAGCACCATGCTCATTTCTCCACCTACAGCGGGGGGGCCCTTGCTGGGGCCTCCAGCAGCAGCAACAAGAAGAAGATGTGGAACTTCATCCACGAGAAGATGAGCTACGACACCTTCTTCACCATGAAGCGTCTGATCGAGCGCTCACGGCGCCCCAACGAGGTGCTGCGCTGGGTCACCCAGAACCCCGCCAAGATCTCCCACAACCACTACCCGGTCGCACTGCAGAAGATCGGACAGCTGCTGCAGGCCCCGCCCCCGGCCCGGGGCAGAGGAGATGATGGCGAAGCCGCAGGAGGAGGACTCGAGGGCGGGGACAGACGTCAGATCCTGGAGCACCAGGACTTTCAGACACTCTGCAACGCCATCGTCAACGACTGCGCCAAGTTCGACAACTTCAGCATCGTCAACTGTCTGTACGCCGTGGCGGCGCTTGGTGAGTCTCCAGGTCTCTGTCAGGTCGTCTCAGAAACAGGACAGCTGTGATGTCATCATGTCTCCCTGCAGGTCTTCCTGCCGACTCCCAGGTGGTCCAGGTGCTGGAGGCGGAGTCTCAGTCCAGACTAAACCAGTTCAACCAGAAGGACGTGTCCATGGTGTTCAGCTCCAGCATGAAGCTCCACCCGGGCAGCCAACACCCGCTGACGGAGGCGTGCCTCGCCGGTCTGGAGAAGAACCTGGAGCGAGAGCGCCACCCGCAGACGCTCTTCCTGCTGCTCTCCTACTACAGACTTAAGTGGCGCTCACTGCAGCCACAGGACCCCGCCCCCAATCCAGGGGGCGCTAACAATAACAGCACTGCTCCAAACCCGGACCAGCTGCTCGCCAACAGGTGAGAAAAACGCCGAGTGTAGATCAGTCAGGTACGGAGGAGGAGGAGCCTGAGAACCAGGAGAGGGTCTGAGTCAGGGGTTCGACTCTAACTCTGTTCTCCTGAGTTATAAACGAAAGGAGCACAAAGAAAACTGATCAATCATGTTTGTGTTATTGATCGACCTTAGTACTATTATTAGAAATCAATTTGTGGTCTTTTGATCACATGACATGGAAGCTATTGAAGGAAAACAGCCTTTTCTGTCAGCCCCGCCCCCTGTCAGCCCCGCCCCCTGTCAGCCCCGCCCCCTGTCTCTGAACGAGTTTTAGTTTTTTAGTTTTTCATGTTTTTTTGAGACAAACTTGAATCCTTGTTGTCGTCGTTGGTCAAAGTTTTGTTCCTCTGTTTTTCAGGAAGATTCTTCGTCTGGTCAAACACACCTTGGCGAGCGTAAGCGGCATGCGTGACCAGGAGATGGCGCTTTTGGATGAGATGTTGGCGGCGTGTGCGAGGGAGGCCAGCAATAAGAGTCTGGAGCTGATCTTCAGTTCTCACCTGTTCTACCAGAACCGACAGGAGAGGTTCATCAGCAGCCTGGCAGGTGAGTCGGGTCTGAGGGTCTCACCTGAGACCTGCTCCAGGTACACCTGCTCAGTCATGTGACCTGCTCAGTCATGTGACCTGCTGCTGTCGTTGTTGTTCTCTTCCAGAGGAGCTGCCCAAAAAGGTGGACAGCATCACGCCGTACACGATGGCGCTGATTGCCAAGTACATCGCTCGCCATCGCCTCAGGGAGACGCGGCTGCTCGACACCATCGCAGACTTCCTGGTGAAAAAGGCGGAGTACCTGGACAGCAAGGTGAGGTCCAAACCCGGGTCATGTGACTTCAGTCCACCTGTGCAGCCTCCTACAACTGTGTGCGTGTGTGTGCGTTTGTGCGTCCTCAGGTGATCCAGAAGCTCGTCTTCCCGTTCAGCAGGATGAGTTACCGTCCCACCGGCGAGCAGCAGTTCTTCTCCCGCCTGGAGGAAGTGGTCGAGCTGAAGGCGCTCAGCTCGCCACTCGCCACAGTCAACATCCTCATGTCTCTGTTCCAGCTGGGACACTTCCCGGGTCTCGTGCTTCACCGTGTCTTCTCCTCCGCCTTCATCAGCAACGTCACCAGTCAGTACACAGCAACACAACCAGTAACACAACCAACAACATAACCAGCAACACAACCAGCAACACAACCAGCAACACAACCAACAACACAACCAGCAACACAACCAACAACACAACCAGCAACACAACCAGCAACACAACCAGCAACACAACCAGCAACACAACCAGCAACATAACCAACAACACAAACAACAACCAAACACACAAATTAACCAGTTTAACCAGTCAGCCAAAAACAGCCAATGAGAGCATGTGACTAACAGTGGTGTCTTTTGGCCCCGCCCCCCTTACAGACAGCCCGTACGCTCTGATCGTCAGGAGGTACCTGTCTCTGCTGGACGCCGCCGTAGAGCTGGAGTTCCGAGACTACACCGGACCACGCCTACAGGACAACCACAAGGTGCTGATGTTTGACCACGCCCTCACCGCCGACGAGGTCAACCGCAAGTACAGGTAACACCCTCGCACCTCAACTGTGTGTTCCAGCAGGTCCACACTGAGCTCCGGGGTTCTGTGGGTCTTAAACTCGAACCCGGGTCGTTAAGGTAGTAAATTTACCGTCAATTTGTTTCAGGTTCTAAATTATCAGCTGGTCGCCGTTTACAGCGGCCGACCGTAAAACGTGTAAAAGAGCGTCTAAGAGTCGAGGTCAGTCTGCTGTCGTCAGTGCTGGTTCTGGTTAATAAAGGCTGGTCCTGATCAGTTTGGACCGGTTAGGTCAGTTTGGATCAGTCCTGGTCAGTTTGGACCGGTTCTGACTGGTCTCTCTCTCAGTTATAAAGGTCTGGTTTGGACCGGTCCTGATCAGTTTGGACTGGTTCTGGTCGGTTTGGACCGGTTCTGATCAGTTTGGACCGGTTCTGACTGGTCTCTCTCTCATTTAAAGAGGTCTGGTTTAGACCGGTCCTGGTCAGTTTGGACCGGTTCTGGTCAGTTTGGACCGGTTCTGGTCGGTTTGGACCGGTTCTGATTAGTTTGGACCGGTCCTGACTGGTCCCTCTCTCAGTTATAAAGGTCTGGTTTGGACCGGTCCTGATCAGTTTGGACTGGTTCTGGTTGGTTTGGACCGGTTCTGATCAGTTTGGACTGGTTCTGACTGGTCTCTCTCTCATTTAAAGAGGTCTGGTTTAGACCGGTCCTGGTCAGTTTGGACCGGTTCTGGTCAGTTTGGACCGGTTCTGACTGGTCTCTCTCTCAGTTATAAAGGTCTGGTTTGGACCGGTCCTGATCAGTTTGGACTGGTTCTGGTCGGTTTGGACCGGTTCTGATCAGTTTGGACTGGTTCTGACTGGTCTCTCTCTCATTTAAAGAGGTTTGGTTTGGACTGGTCCTGATCAGTTTAGACCGGTCCTGATCAGATTAGACCGGTCCTGGTCAGTTTGGACCGGTTCTGATTAGGTTGGACCGGTTCTGACTGGTCTCTCTCTCAGTTATAAAGGTCTGGTTGCCGAGGCGCTGAGACAGCTGGTTGGTGAACAGAACTACAAACAGGACGAAGTTCTGCCCCCGGGGTACTACACAGGTACTGCAGAGACACACTACAGACACGGGTTTGATCCATGGACACTGATTGATTAACTGATTGATTGATTGATTGATTGATTGATCATGTCTTCAGACTTCCTGTTATGGATGGACGGTTCTGGTCGGGTTCTGCCCATCAGGTCAGGACCCCCGTTGTCCCTCGGTATGGTCCCGCCCTCCTGCGTTCCCATGGCGCCCAAGCCTGGTGACGGTGCGGTTGCCGTGGTAACCTCAGAGTTCCAGAAGTTCTCTCCGTTTGCGGCGCTGGAGGAGGACCCGGATCAGCAGGGTCCGGGTCCGGAGGGGATGGGGGGGGCCTTGGAGCCCAGATCATTCCTGCCCCACCACATCCGCAGCCCAGCAGGGACCACGGTGGCCTCAGGGGCCCCCCGCCCAGGAACCAACGGGGGGCCCCTGGACTACGGCCCCTACTACCCGCCCCCAGCAGAGTTCTACTCGGGTCTGAATAAGGAGCACTCTCTGGAGAGTCAGGACAGTTCCACACTCAGCAGCCCCCCCTCTGATGGACTCACTCAGTCAGGGGCCCCGGGCCCTGCCGGGACCGCCGCCCCAGACTCACTCTTTCAGTTTTCTATCGGGAAGATCCTGGAGGACGAGGGGGGGGCCGGGACCCCCGGGGGTCAGGGGTCGACGGACTGTGAGCTGCCCGGGTTCTACGAGGGGGCCGCGTACCCTGAGGGGTCCAGGGCCGACAGAGGGCCCCCCTCCCCCCCACAGCTCCACCCCTCAGACCGGGCCGAGGCGGAGGAACCCCCGTCAGAGCAGCGGGGGGTCAGGAGGTGAGTCCGGCTCAGTGTGAGTGACCCGGGTCAGTCAGAACCAGGTCTGAGGTCTGTGTGTCTTTACAGGGTCATCATGTCCGTCAACGATAAATGGCACTACTGTCACAATTCTGAGGTTCTGGTCGGGTCCAGAGCCATGAGGGACCGCCACCTGAGGCTGCTGGGATACATCATCCTGCAGGTCAGACTCCGCCCACTCAGGCTACGTTCACACTGCAGGTTCTGACGCACAAAGATCGGAGTTTCGGTTCAATCCGATCTTTTTGTCGGTCGTTCACGTTACAACAACGAAAGTGTGAAGTGACCCGCGTGAACGCCACCTGAGCGTCCACGCCGCCGTCACATCAGATCCAGATCCACATTCTAAAGAGACCTGGGTCGGATCAGAACACATCAGAACTGACCTGCAGTCTGAACGTAGATCAAGATACTCACATTAATACAGAGTGTTTACACCCCCACCGTCTGTGGTCATGTGACCCGTCATGTGACTCGTCATGTGACCCCTGTCCTCTTGTCCCCTCTCAGCTGCCGTACCACGAGCTGGAGAAGCTGAACGGCATCGAGGAGGTGAAGCAGTACCTGCACAAGAAGCTGCTCAACGTCCCGCTATGACGCTCTCTGTCTGTGTGTGTGTGTGTGTGTGTGTGTGTGTGTGTGTGTGTGTCTGTGTGTGTGTGTGTGTGTGTGTGTGTGTGTGTGTCTGTGTGTGTGTGTCTGTGTGTGTGTGTGTGTGTGTCAGTTGTGTGCCGGTTGGACCCGGTTGTTCGAACCTCGGGTCACAGAGAGACTCGGATGATTGAACCTGCTGCTCTGATGCTCCACCCTCTGAGTCTGTGGGCGTGATGAAGGGGGCGGGACTCTAACGTGAGTGACAGGTGACATCATCACGTACCTGCAGCAGGTGGACTCAGCGGACGGTCCGGCTGCTTTTTCACACACAGGACTCGGTTTTCGGATCAGAACTTGAGCTGAGTTTATTTCTATAACAGGGACGGTGGGTCCATCAGAACCAGACCCGGTTGGTTGAGTCTGTGGATCCGGTTCTGCTGTGGTGTCGGGTCTGTGGTTCTGGAGGAGGCTCTGAAGTGACCCGGTCCATTCTTTAACACTCGAACCTGCAGGCTGCGATCTGATTGGTCGCTGCGTGGATGAAGAGGTCACATGTTTTTTGGGGCGAGGAGGGCGGAGTCTCTTTTTATAAAGTTTGGTAACCATGGTAACAAAGTCGCCGCATGTGTGAAGCAGTTTTTTTAAAGCAGCTGATGGAGAGCAGGGGCTGATGGGTAATGTAGTTCTCTGTAAGTGCACACAAAGGGGGGGGGCAGGGCTGCTGCTGCCATGGTAACAGGGTGTTTAAGTGCCAAAGGATAGGAGGAGGGTGTGTGTGTGGGGGGTCAAAGGTCAGATTATTTATTTGTGTACGAGGTGACGGACAGTCGGACAGAAAGAAGTTTGTTTATATTCTATAAATCTATCATTCAAATGTCTATAAAACCTGAAACCCTCCAACGGCTCTATGTGTCTTTATGTCTACGCTCTGATTGGACAGCAGGAGTCACATTGTCTCACCGTGTTTACACTCAACTGTTTGGATGGTTAAAACGGAGATAATAATTATAATAATAATAATTATTGTTATTATTATTCTATCCAATCAGAGTGAGCGTTTCCTTCATCGTGTTTGTAAAGAGAGCGGTGTAAACAAACACCCACAGAGGCTCAAAGAGAGTTTTGATAATATTAAGATTTAAAGGGTGAATGAGTAACTTTTTTAGGGCTGAGAATCAACGATCATCTCAGCTGGAAACTCCAAATAAACTCTGTCAGGAGTTCTAGTATTCTGGGTCGATCGAGACACAAACGAAACCATCAAACTTTATAAATTATTACACACGTATACGACCGTGACTGAAGTCTGAAACACAAACAAAACTCATTTATAGGACAGAGAAATCAGGATTATTAACAAGGTCAGATTCTTCCATCAAACTAATGAACTGTTTCTGATATTAAGAGGATTAACATTCACAGACAATTCACAAAGATAATAACAATCTACTCTGAGTTTATAGAGGAAATGTTTAATGGAAGAGAAGGAAGGAGAGGAAACGACATCTACAACAACCGTTCATACAACACTGAGAATCATGAGTCTGACTGTTGTGGGAGTGAAGCTGAGGAACGAGTCCGTGATCTTAAACTAAAGAACAGTTTAAAACAGTTTGATTAGAAAATACTGAAGTGATTTTTGTTTGGCCACATTTATTATATTCTATATGGATGTGGTACAAATGAGAGATTTGAAGTATTCTAAGTATATGTATATGTATAAAGTGTATATTTGTGTGTACATATGTTTATATAGGTATGGATGTATATTTGTACATATAAGGTCTTTGTTTCAGTGTTTACGGTTCGTTCTATATTCATGTTCAGACTTTGGAGCTTTAGTGAATTTTTGTCGACATCAGAAATTCTAAAGACGAACAGGAAGGACTGAGGAGAGACGACTTCAAACTGCTCCTTCTCCATCTTCAACAACAAGAGAATCTCAGGTCTAAAACTGTTCTGTATGTTTGACTGAATGAACCATTTCATCATCATCATCATCATCATCATCACGTCTCCAAACATGAACATGTTTCTCTGTAGTTTGTTTGTTCATGTGGACCGACTTTTAAACATCGTTTTGGAGTTTAAGGTCAAAGAGACACAACAAAGATGGAGGACGACCGACTGTGAATCACAGAAATATCTGTTCTGTGTTTATCTGAGCCGACCGCTGCCTCGTATAAACTCACAGACTGTGACATTTATCTGTTAGCTGTCCTGTATGACGGAGTATTAGGGCCACATGAAGAAAAACATGAAGACTTCAGGATTAAAGTCGTTAATTAAATACTTCTGTTCTTCTGATAACGTGGTGCTGATGTGTTTGAGAAAAAACATACTGAAGTAAATTTTCATGAAATGCTCCGTGGCTCTCAGTGTTCGAGTTTAAGGACTTTATTCTGACTTTAATCTCAAAGTCTTTATATATTTTTCTTCATGTGACCCGAACACACCGTCGTAGTCGCAGATAATGACGTTTCAGACTCCGGTCGTCTTTGTCCACGAACAAACGCCAAACCGGAGTTTTTCTAAATCACCGTTTTTAAAATCGTGATCCTGCGGTTTGGTGTGGAGGGTCGACTAAAGCGTTAATACTGGACCAGGTGTGGACAGAGAGCTTCAAACAGCAGCTCTGATTGGCTCAGGTGTTGAGGAGCACAGGTGTGCGCACACACACACACACACACACACACACACACACACACACACAGATGCAGGGTTAGTAGTTCTGGTGACCAAACAGTTCAGAGGATGAGCGTCAGGTGGACTTACCTGAACCTCACTCAGGTCCGGCTCATCATCACTGAGATCATCAGAGTCCAGTTAAACTGGAATAACTGAAACCCCAAACTCTGACCTGATTGGTCAGTGTGCTGAGCTCCTCCAATCAGAGCTGACCTGCTGAGTGAACAGGTGTGGGTCTCGTTAACTCCAGGTGTGTTTGTTCAGGTTTAATCACTTCCTGGTTTTAAAACATGTTTGATATTTGACCGTCTGTGTGTGCGTTCAGTGTGATGTCACAGCGGCGTTGTGGCGTGATGATGTCGTGGTGTGTTTAAGGACTGCAGGAAATCAG